AGATGGGCTCGATGTTGTGGCATATGAACAACCATAGGATGGCTATAGAAGAGGTGAGGTCAATCTGATACCAATCTGCAGTGGGGAGAGGCCAAGCATTTTCATGTCCCAATAAAACTTCTGCAACCTCAATCCAGTTGAAATCATGCGGGATTGGGACTACATTAGTTCAGGTGAGCTGATAGTAGTCATGAATTACTTCGGGTGAAAATATGATCCATTTGCCCCGAACCCATGTTTGATACAAATGATCGGATCCAGGTGTGTCTATTTCGGTATTGAAGTTAGCATAGAACTCCCTCACAAAAGAGCTATATCGAAAAGGTACTTAAAAGATATGACATGCAAGATTGTAAATTAGGTGACACCTCTGTGGCTAAAGGAGACAAGTTCAGTTTAAGTCAATACCCTAAAAATGACTTATAAATTAAGGAAATGCAGAAGATTCCTAATTCTTCAGCTATAGGGAGTCTAATGTATGTTCAGGTTTATACGTGTCCGGATATAGCGTACATTATTGGGATGCTAGGAAGATATTTAAGTAACCCTAGAATTGATCATTGGAAAGCAGTCAAACGGGTTATGCGGTATTTACAGAGAACAAAGACTACATGCTCACATACAGGAGATCGGATCAGTTGAAGATCATCGGTTATTCTGATTCCGATTTCGCGGGATGCCAAGATAGTAGGAGATCCACTTCAGGCTATATTTACCTACTTGGTGGAGGTGCTATTTCTTGGAAGAGTGCTAAGCAGACACTTATAGCTACTTCCACCATGGCAGCGGAGTTTATAGCGTGTTATGAGGCATCAAATCATGGAATATGACTGCGTAATTTTGTCACTGGGCTGCGCATCGTGGACAATAGAGAAAGACCACTTAAGATATTTTGTGACAATAAATGAGCAGTGCTATATTTCAATAACAACAGGAGCTCAACGAAGTTAAAACATATAGAGATCAAGTTCCTGACTGTTAAAAAAAGAGTTCAGAGTGAACATGTGTCAATAGAGCATATTGAGACAAACTCCATGGTTGAGGATCCGCTTACTAAGGGATTAATACCCAAGGTCTTTCATGAGTACACTGCTCATATGGGTATAGTGTCTCTTGAGGATATTTAGTTTCAGTGGGAGTTTGTATTTTTACTTTTCATATTGGACACATGTACTGTTATTTTGGATATGGTTTAAGGTTAAAGTTATTTGGTTTATTATCTCTGAACTTGTTTAAAATGATCTCACTAAGGCATTAAGATGGACCAGTTGGAAATAGGCATGTTACAGATCACATCACATGTAATTTCCATGCTACAATCCATGCTTGATCTATGTCATTCGGTTGTATCGATATACGTGACCATTGATGGATTTAACTACATGAAAGTAACGAAAGCCGCTTTGATCCTATATTGATATGATTGATGGACGAGATTGTTTGGGGATATATTCGGTAATGATAGCAAAATTCTGAGTACTCATAAGGTTATGTTTAATGCACAATTATAAGGTGACACATATAGCCAAAGTGAGAGATTGTAATGATTTTTAATCCATCGATGTGCTTATATGTTTGAATAATTATGTGTTAAATTAAAGGCTATCAAATTTGGTTAAGTCCAATTAAAGTAATCTAATAAGGCTTCGATTTTGGGTTTTAATATATCCAATTAAAGTATGGGTTTACATATGTGTAGAGATCGGGCCCAAGTCCAAATTCTATAATGGGCCGAATTAGGTAAAAGGGCGTCGATATATAAATATGGTTATGGTCCCCAAATCACACGTACGTATTATTCATTCTCTACTGCATCCCATCACAGAGAGAAGAAGGAGATTGCGTGTAGATTTGAAAGACCATATCGCGTAATTCATTATTGCATTAACCATGTCTGATTCATGTACGCTTCCGCTTTAATTCTTCAATTTCTTGATAATTTAATATGAAAGATCCGGTGATTTAACACAATAAATTATCCTACAACTTCTGCCCAGAATCTTGGCTCTTGCTAATCGGCATGTTGAAATTAAGGAAGACAAGGGTGGAGATAAATAAAGCTTTAATGACAGCAATCAATATTTTTGAAACTACTGCAACGAAGAACCTTAACCTACGATGTCTGTAGTAAATTGACCCCCAACCAGATTGAGGGGATGAGTTTTTCTCTTTTCTTTAATTTTTCCATAATAAAAATTATTTGCATTTTACTCTTTTTTTTTTTTTTGGCATACCTAGTTTGTACTATTTCGAAAGTCAAATAGAATGTCTGTATCGATGAATATGTTTATTCAACAATTATAAAATATTGAAGATGTACAAATGCTACAAAAGGTCATAGATTGAGAAATATCACTACAATTTTGATAAAATTTATTATAGTTAAAAAGTTGTGAATCCTGTAAAATGTGTGATTAAAATTAACTGTTGATTTTAATTTTAAATTTTAATTCATTTTTATAGTTGAATCGAACAGAACTATACATGAAGATAAATGATTAAAACAATATGGAAAATCCCAAAAGCCAAGTAGCCGTTGGTGTCATCAGCCTGAAAATATATACATCTTTACCGGCGTGATCTACATATCATAACATAGTACAATAGTAACTTTATTTTAGTCCATGTTTGATATCGTTGTATGAGAATATAATTTGTAAAAAGTAATTTTTTTAAGAATTTGTGGTTGAAAATTAAAAAAATATTTTGAATTTACGTACAATATTATTGTACTGAAAGAATCAGAAGTTGAAAATGAATTTGAAAGAAAATAAATTTTCAAGAATGGGATTGAGCTTAATTTATCATTAAATATTGTGAGTGCTCTCTTCAAATATTTTTTACATTGTAAAATTTGTATTTGAGAGGTGCTACAAGTACAGGGTTCTGTTTTACAGACCCCTACCAAAACACACACACGCATAGGCTTCAGTGCATTTTTTCTTTTCAATGTGGGACTGACCCCTACAGCGAGGGGTCGAAAAGGTTTATGTGAGAAATGCTCTCTTTGTATTTTGTGATTTCAAATAATCACGATTCCCTTCAAAATAAAGCATTATTATTGGCTTTTGTAGTAAATAACAAATATAAACATAGCCATCAATTGCGCTGACATTCTGCAGCTTGTCATTTTCAAGAATTCCCCATTTGTGTTATATTATTCTCAATCTCTCAGCAAGGACCATGCATTCCATCCACCTTCAATCAAGATTTTAGAGCAATTATGAACTTATATGTGCCCTGTTTGACTATTTTTATTTTTATTTTTTTGAATTTTTAAATACTAATTTGGAAGAATGTGTGGTTAAAAAGTAAAAAAAAAAGAATTCAGATTTTTATAAATAATATTTTATTATGAAAATGTGTGGTTAAAAATGAGTATGAGAAAACAATAATAAGAAAGAATGATTATCAAACAAGGGTTTAATTAATATGCGAAATTAGACAAGATGTTACAAAGAGTTGAAAAAAGTTAATTTAAATACTTATTCATAGTTGTGTCTATTCTTTCTCATTTCGATCGGCCAAAAATAGGATTAAATTTCATTGTTGTGTTACTCGCTAAATTTTATGCTGTTACAAGTTAATAATTGATTTTAACTATAATGTGTGGTGCTTAAACGTATATTTAATGAATATATTATTACAACAGGATGAACACGTGTCACAATATTTATAGGTATAGCAACATATATCATCACGAGTTTCTATCGGCGACATGTATTAGAATGTGCCATATCGACATTTTCGTTTGTCATCCACGAAGGTCTAACAAAACCCATGACTTGCCATACCTTGTTTGCTTAAAATCTCATAGGAAAAATTAGGCATATATAATATTTTGTATTTATTACCAAGTTTATTAGATTGCTTTAATTTAATCATATTGGACTTGCTCAGATCTCGTGTTCATTTAAGACAAACTAATCCAAGATTTAAAAGTGAGATCTCAATTTATTTGTTGAATAACAAATTGTAAGGGATTATTCAACAAATAGTTACTGAATTTTACTATAGGTTAGAACTTGTTCATCGATTTTTAAAAAGTTACTCGTTGCTCACCCAAATTTGTTATAGATTACTACTTATCGAAATTTAAAATGTTACTCATTGCTCAACTAAATTTAAATAAAGTTACTCGTTGCTCATTAAACTTTGCAATATGTATACTCATGGAAATGATATGGATGATTGATGGGTAACTTTGTTCAAATTTAGGTGAGCAATAAATAACAAATATTTTAGATTTTAATGAGCAAATGGTAACATATGGCAAAGTTTAGTATGCACATAGTAACATTTTAAATTTCGGTGAGCAAGTAGAAGTCTATAATGAAGTTCATGACCATTGATTAAATTAACTCATAGTCTCATGCTTATACTCTCTTCATGTTATACTAACTTGAGCATCAAATGAATGAGGTCACACCACAATACATTTGTTTTAGGTATACAAAAAATATATATATAATTGTCGGAAAGAAAAATTGCGCGCCGCCGCATAAGAGGCAACTCAAGCCACAATTTGGTTGAACATATCTAAAAAAAAAGGTTAAACTCTAACCTTAAGGGTCCCCCACCACCCCTGTCCTGGAGTATCGTGAGGGAGGTAAATCGCAGGTTATGCCTCCAAAGGTACAGGGTGAAAGGCTTGGTTGAACATATCTACATTTAACATGCCTAGACACAAAGAAGTTTTGTTCGTTTTCGTACTTAGTCTTATTCTAGCGATCGAATCATCACGGGGACGAAATTTGGTAGAATCAGTGAATTGACCCTCTTTTGAGTGCGCCTTTTCCAATTTTCTTTTCGTCTTTGCTTTTTATTTGAAGTTGGGCTCGGTGTACTTGAGTGCATCATACGGGTGTGCACAATGGGACAACGGCTCTTTTCTTGGCAACGGTCACTCGATGCATTCTTCAGTGATTTGAAAATACAAAATCCAATTTAAAACAGGCACTGGCAGTAGATAAAGGAAGAAAGATAAAAGAGGTTGAAGTAACGAAGTTCTTTACATCATTCTTCTTTTATTATTGAAGATGAAGATGAAGATAAAGATTACATTTTGCGGTAATTAATGAGGAGACACGAGTGGCCCAGATCTGAATAACCCTATAGCTACGTTAACCTCTTGTGAGAAAGATCCAAACGGTACACTCACTTTTTCTTATAAAAGTAAACTCTCTGATCAGTTCTGGCCGTACTCATCACCCACAACACACTATAACTACATACGAATAAGCCATTTTTTGTTCTTGAGGGATCTTGTAGCAGCGTTTTTCTTGTTTCTGCAATGTCTGCGGAAAATCTTGAAGCCAATGGGGACCGGACTGATTCGGGTCTGAAAATGGGCCATGAAAATGAGCCGGGTTCGGAGGAGAGGATGAGTAGGGGAAGGGCTGAGATTGACACGTCGGCGCCTTTCGAGTCGGTGAAAGATGCGGCGAATCGATTTGGTGGAATAGGATTTTGGAAACCCAGTTCTCAAAAGCCCCATGAACAATCCTCTCAGGTCTTCTCTCACACAAAACACACACTTATATGAGAAGATTTTCATTTATTTTCAGTACTTTATAATGCTTTTGACTTGAGAAATTCTGCTGCTTATTCAACTTTTTAGTTAACTAGTTTCTAATTTTGAAGTCTGATTTCCTAGAACTGAGTCGATTTGTGTGTCTAATCGCGTTTAAAATGTTTTGCGAATGGCAGAACGGTAGTGAAATTCTTGACATTGTAAATATGGAGGAACAGGCTGCACAGTTGGAAACAGAGTTGATAATGAAAGAAAGAGAAACCCTTGATGTTTTAAAGGAACTGGAAACCACTAAAAATACTGTCGAAGAACTAAGATTGAAGCTGCAGAAAGAAACATCAGAGATAAATGAAGCCCTCAATGCAGAAACAGATGATAAAAATGTGAATTCTGCTGCAGAAATGGAAGAGAAGTCTGCTCCAGGTTCCATTTTACTGGAACTGGAACAAGCCAAATTAAACTTAAGTCGGACTACAAACGATCTTGCCGATATTCGAGCTACAGTTGATTTCTATAACAAGAAGATAGAGAAAGAAAGAATGTCGCTTGAAAAGACTCGTCAAAGGTTGTCTTCAAATACCTCAAAAATTTCATCACTTGAAAAAGAGTTGAACCAAACCAGACGGAAAGTACAGCTTGATCCCTTGGATGTTACAAGGGAGCTACAAAAGTTAGCTTCTGAGACGGAGAAGTTTAAGGAGGTAGGAGAAGCTGCAAAGGCAGAAGTTTTGAAAGCAACATCTGAGATCGAACAGACGAAATCTCGGATTAAGACTGCTGAGATAAGATTGATTGCTGCTAAAAAAATGAAAGCAGCAGCAAGGGCTTCTGAAGCTGTGGCACTTGCTGAAATCGAAGCACTGTCGAAGAGTGGAAACTTGTCTGAAGATATTCAGGAAAAATCCGACCGTGTAACTATCACTGTCGAGGAATATTCATCTTTGATCTCGAGGGCTCGAGAAGCAGAGGAAGCCTGTAATGGGAGAGTAGTGGACGCAATGGTTCAAGTTGATGAAGCTAATGTGTCGAACACTGAAATCTTAAAGAAGGTAGAGGAAGCAACCGAAGAAGTTAAAATTAGCAAAAAGGCTTTGGAAGAGGCATTGAGTAGAGTGGAAGCAGCAGACAGTGGTAAATTGGAAGTCGAGGAGGCTCTTCGGAAATGGAGATCCGAACAATAACCCTATAGCTACGTTAACCTCTGGTGAGAAAGATCCAAACGGTACACTCACTTTTTCTTATAAAAGTTAACTCTCTGATCAGTTCTGGCCGTACTCATCACCCACAACACACTATAACTACATACGAATAAGCCATTTTTTGTTCTTGAGGGATCTTGTAGCAGCGTTTTTCTTGTTTCTGCAATGTCTGCGGAAAATCTTGAAGCCAATGGGGACCGGACTGATTCGGGTCTGAAAATGGGCCATGAAAATGAGCCGGGTTCGGAGGAGAGGATGAGTAGGGGAAGGGCTGAGATTGACACGTCGGCGCCTTTCGAGTCGGTGAAAGATGCGGCGAATCGATTTGGTGGAATAGGATTTTGGAAACCCAGTTCTCAAAAGCCCCATGAACAATCCTCTCAGGTCTTCTCTCACACAAAACACACACTTATATGAGAAGATTTTCATTTATTTTCAGTACTTTATAATGCTTTTGACTTGAGAAATTCTGCTGCTTATTCAACTTTTTAGTTAACTAGTTTCTAATTTTGAAGTCTGATTTCCTAGAACTGAGTCGATTTGTGTGTCTAATCGCGTTTAAAATGTTTTGCGAATGGCAGAACGGTAGTGAAATTCTTGACATTGTAAATATGGAGGAACAGGCTGCACAGTTGGAAACAGAGTTGATAATGAAAGAAAGAGAAACCCTTGATGTTTTAAAGGAACTGGAAACCACTAAAAATACTGTCGAAGAACTAAGATTGAAGCTGCAGAAAGAAACATCAGAGATAAATGAAGCCCTCAATGCAGAAACAGATGATAAAAATGTGAATTCTGCTGCAGAAATGGAAGAGAAGTCTGCTCCAGGTTCCATTTTACTGGAACTGGAACAAGCCAAATTAAACTTAAGTCGGACTACAAACGATCTTGCTGATATTCGAGCTACAGTTGATTTCTATAACAAGAAGATAGAGAAAGAAAGAATGTCGCTTGAAAAGACTCGTCAAAGGTTGTCTTCAAATACCTCAAAAATTTCATCACTTGAAAAAGAGTTGAACCAAACCAGACGGAAAGTACAGCTTGATCCCTTGGATGTTACAAGGGAGCTACAAAAGTTAACTTCTGAGACGGAGAAGTTTAAGGAGGTAGGAGAAGCTGCAAAGGCAGAAGTTTTGAAAGCAACGTCTGAGATCGAACAGACGAAATCTCGGATTAAGACTGCTGAGATAAGATTGATTGCTGCTAAAAAAATGAAAGCAGCAGCAAGGGCTTCTGAAGCTGTGGCACTTGCTGAAATCGAAGCACTGTCGAAGAGTGGAAACTTGTCTGAAGATATTCAGGAAAAATCCGACCGTGTAACTATCACTGTCGAGGAATATTCATCTTTGATCTCGAGGGCTCGAGAAGCAGAGGAAGCCTGTAATGGGAGAGTAGTGGATGCAATGCTTCAAGTTGATGAAGCTAATGTGTCGAACACTGAAATCTTAAAGAAGGTAGAGGAAGCAACCGAAGAAGTTAAAATTAGCAAAAAGGCTTTGGAAGAGGCATTGAGTAGAGTGGAAGCAGCAGACAGTGGTAAATTGGAAGTCGAGGAGGCTCTTCGGAAATGGAGATCCGAACATGCTCAGAAAAGGCGCAACGTACACAACTCTTCCAAATTCAAGAACTCTGATATGTCGTCACGCCATAGGAGGGAGAAGGAATCTCGTCTTCTCGACTTAAATGATCTGAATCTGGTTAATGACGAGTTAAAGCCAGTTCTGAGGCCAACTCTATCAATCGGGCAAATATTGAGCAGGAAACTGCTTCTGGCGGAAGATTTTGGGGATGGAATTAAGGAAGAAAATAGCACGTGGAAGCGGAAGGTGTCATTAGGCCAAATGCTCGGTAAAAC